CTCTCTCATCATTAATGTTTCTATCTCTCTCTCCCTCTCCCTTCCTCTCTGAAATCAATAAAAATATATTTTTTAAATAAAAGTGGGTTGTTCAGTGAATCTGTGATTACCCAACCCCCATTCTTATCCTAAACAAACCTCGAGACCTCCCCTTGGCCTGGGTGGTCTTTACAAAGAACGTTCTGACCCCAATTTCAGAATTTAGAGCTGGCAAGGGGGCCAGGAGAACAGCCCCCACCCCCACTTCCTCACTCCCCCCACCAGCCGTGGAAGCAGCTGATCTCCATTTCTGCCTGAGGGGACTTCATTGCCGCCTCTGCTGAAAGCAATTTGTCATGCCCTGAATTAAGTGGTTCCAAAACGGGTTTAATTTCAGTTTAATGGCTCTGTTTTTATGTGTAATTAAATACCATTGCATGGCGAAAATATGTTGTTTGCACTTCAGAGAGTGTGTGTAAGGGCCTGGGAAGCCAGCCCCACCGGGTTTCTACTCACTCCCAGGCCCCACCAGCCCCGCCCCTGGCCTGGCTGGAATTGTCTAGGTTGTGGGGAAGGGGATTATCGATGTGGGGAAGACAGGGGGGCAGTGAGGACAGAGCCAGTCCTGGTGGTGCCTGCTGGCTCAGTAGAGCATGTTTCTAATTATCTATAGCACACACACACCCCTACTCCCTGACCCCAACCCGCCCCAACCCCTGGGGCCTCAGACATAGAAGGGATAGGTCACTCTGACAGTGAAGATCTAATTAGGCCCTTGGCTGGCTGGAGTGGTGTCTGCTCCCCGGGGGTGTGCCCAAAAATGCCCCATTGTCTCTCCTCTACTTACTGTTTCCATTAACTCCCGCTCCCCCTTGACCCTTTCCCCTGACTCACAAGCAGGGAGGGCCCCTCGCCTCCCCTCTTCCCTGGGACCACCCAACATTCCAGCCGCCAGCCTACCTCCCAGCTCCATCCAACCACATCATCTTGACTTTCTTTAGGTCAGAGGTGACATTGACATAGGGGTCTAGAATGCAGGGGGCGTTTCTCTGGCTGGGAATGTTCCAGGGTCATTTACCACACAGCCAGATCTCCCCCTTCCCCGTCTCCCCCACTCCCTCAGGACGGGGCGGGGGCAAGCAGGCGCCCCAAGTCCTGCGTGCTTCAGAACATTCCTGGAGCAGCTTGGGGGAATCTGGCCCTGAGCGGAGAGGCTGGTCGGAGCAGCCTTTTCCTGGAAGGAGTTGGAGCCTTGGCAGTGGCTGGAACCTTGGGGCCCTGATAGGAGGAGGGGCCCGGAGGCTTGGCCAGCTCTCCGGCGATTTCCCCACCTGAATCCAATACCAGAGTCAGTCCAAGGCTCCATTTTTTTCTTCCTACTCCCCCCCAGCCTTCTGGCCAATGGAAAACCCAGCCCCCCACCTCCAGCCCACATCAGGGCTGGATCGCCGCTAATGAGCTGGGAAATGGAAACCAAATGCCTGATGTGGCTCGACACCTACCTATGGCCTAATCCTGGCAAGATGGCCCCCATCCTCCTGCTCCAAGCCACAGTGGGGGGAGGGGGGACAACATTGGGGGGGATGGGGAGCAGGACAGAGCACTGAGGGCTGTGGTTTTAAGTTTATCCAGGTATGGTGGCCCCACCAGGACATAATAGTTTGGTCCTTGCCATCTCCTCCTTTCTACCTCTGCCAGAGATGCTGATGCCCTTGTGGCAACTAGAGTGACCATTCAAGGGTTTCTGGAATCTAGGGTGGGAGGGCCTAGTGCAAACCAGGCCGGCAAGTCCTCTCTGGAGCCCGCTTCTCCCACGGTGACACTGCCCATACCATTCACACTGCCCAGGGGAGTGTCCCCATGGACACTGAGCTGCCCTTACTTCCTCCTTTTTTGACACCTAGGACCTGGCTCTTGGATCATGGGGCGAGCGCCAGGGGTTGGGGTGGGGATGTTTCTGTGAGGTGTGGAACGCCCCCACCCAAGTGCACATCCTCTAGTCTCTGATGCCAGACAGCTCCTCCCAAACCCTGCAGGGGACGCCTAGTGAGCGAGGGTCACTCCTTCACAGCCAGCAGGGAAGTACATACCTGAATTTCTTATTCCCTCTCTCCTCACCTCACACACATTCATTCAGATTCATGGAGCAGCCCACATATGGACACACCACACAAATGCACTCATCCATACACACCCAGACCAGGTATATGTGCCCTGTAAAAGCCCACACTCTCACATTTCAGCTATCACTTTGCTATATTCACACACATGTGCGCACACGTGCACGTGCGCGCGCACACACACACCATCAATATACATGTATCACAGAGGCACACCCAGGCTATGTATGCAGCTACTTCCTAAGCAGACCCTGCTCTTTCCGGAGGCCCGTGAAAGGAAAAGGACCGCCTACCACCCATGGCCAAGGGTGCGAGGCTGGAGCATTTAAAGAGATACTTCAGGGATCAAAAGAGAAACTTTTCCTGCGTTTGGTTTAGGGACCTAGAACTTGATCGGCAGCCTACACCCACCTTCTACCCCAACATGCGTTGGCCTTGGCCCCACAAGGGGGGACTGCAGCCCCAGACTCAAAATGCAGACAGCACAGGTGCCAGCACATCAGAGGCCTGGCAGCACCTCTGGAACTGGGGAGGGCCTAGGAATCCAGGAGCTGGCCAGACAGGAGGGTGCGCCCCCAGAGGCCAGATCAGACAGGAGGGCACTCCCCCAGAGTACAGCAGCTTGGTGCACAGGGTCCCGGGCTGCCTGTGAACTCCCTGAAAGGAACCTCCACCCAAGAAATCAGTGCCTGGCCCTGGCTGGTTTGGCTCAGTGGATAGAGTGTGGGCCTGCGGACTGAAGGGTCCCGGATTCGATTCTGGCCAGGAGCACATGCCTGGGTTGCGGGCTCAATCCCCAGTGGGGGGCATGCAGGAGGCAGCAGCCGATCTATTCTCTCATCGTTGATGTTTCTATCTCTCTCTCCCTCTTCATTCCTCTCTGGAATCAATAAAATATATTTTAAAAAAAGAAATCAGTGCCTGGCACAGAGGTCCGGGAGGGGAGGGACATTAGGAAATGACCAGGAATCCAATCGTACCACGTGGGCACACACTTGGGGGCTGCCACCAAAAGCCCACAGCCTGGTGTGCCCAGGACAGCAAGATCAAAGATGCCCCCACTCTTGACCCCTTGACCCATCAGAATCAAATCTCAGCACAACCCCCAATCAGGAATCCAGGCAGGCAGAGCTGTGGAATGTGGTGGAAAGTTTACCCCTTTCCCAAGCTTCAGGTCAGCGCCTCCCCCGCCCCCAAATTAATAAATCAAATCCAGATGCAAACCCAACCGGCCTGATGCCCTAGGAAATGCCCCAGTTTCACACACCAGCTGATCCCAGGAATAGCTCTGGCTCAGCAGGGCTGTCCGGCTCCCTCCCTCTGTTTGGAAGCCAGTATTTCCCCACCAGGAGTCTGAACACAGAGCACAGACTTGAGGGGCAGGGAGGCCCCTCAGGAAGAGGCTGCAGGGAGAGGATGGTGAATTGGCTGAGTCTTAGAGTCCTTCTACCATGTGGATAGTCCTCCCATCCCTGGTACACCCCTGTCTCTAATTTAAATAAATAAGCAAAACACAATTGTATTGTTTTTTGTTTTGTTTTGTTAAAAAAAAAAAAGAAAGACATCATGGCCAACTGGAAGGTCCCTAAGTCTCCTTCCATCCAGCAAGCCAGAAAATGCCCAGGGGGCAGGGTATGGGGCGGGAGCTGTAGGGAAGGAGGTGTGGAGCAGGAGGCAGAGGCCAAGCTGTGAGCCAGATGGAGTCATCCTGGTGATTTCACGGCTCTGACTACAAATGGAAGGGAACAGGACCCCAGGCAAGTCTCTTACTTCCCCCCAATCCCATTATGCTGGTCCTTTCCTCCATCAGGCACACACATTCCAATTACACATTCTTTCCTCCCACCCTGACTGCGCAGACAGGGGCCCCACCACCCCACCCCTCTGTCTTGCAGGCCTTCCTAGGACCCTCTTACCTCCTCCACAGCAGGGATCCGCTGCCAGGCAATCAAGCAGATGGCATTACCCCCAACCCCAAAGTAGGCTTGTCTCTGCAGGTCCTTGCCCTTGGAGGGCCTGGGGACGAAGAGAAGAGGAGCCTGGCAGCCCTTAGCTTTGGGTCCGGTCTCCTGACCATTGAGCCATCTGCTACCCCACACCTTCCCTGTGGCCTCCGCTCTACCACTAGATTGAGGGAGGGACAATGGTCAAGGTACATGTCTACTTTCCTCCTCAGATTATGGGCATGGGACTTCTCTTCTCCCACAGGCTTGTGTTCACCTTGTAGGAGGTGGGCCCAATGTCCAAATCAGAGGAAGTCAGAATAAGGGTGCCCCCACCCCGGGCTGAGAACTAGAGCTGGCATGTAATATGTAGCCAGTAAATGTTTTTAGATGGCTGAATGAATAAAAGAATGAATGAATCCAGGGTCAATTTGGAAACACACCAAGGCTCCCCATTGCCACTCTGACCTCTTAGGCTATCTAAGCCCAAAGAGGACACCCCTAGGCTCCGGCTCACCCCACGGGTACATCCATGCTCATCAACACACACACGCTACACACATGCTGAGGAAAACTTCTGGGCCAGAGGCAGAGCCAGGACTCAGATCCAGGCTCCAGGTCAGCTCTGCAGCCTCCAGGGGAAGGGGGGGCAGGGGGCAGGGAGCCCCCTGCCTGCTGGTAGGGCTCACTCGCGGAAGCTGTCAGCCAACTGGTGGCAGTCCAGCTCCTCCTTCGGCTCCAGGCCCCCTGGAAGCTTCACTCCTGTCTTCCGGTCCACACACCAGCACTTGCCACGTTGCCCATCCAGGGCCGGGTGGCACTGTCAAGACAAGGGCATGAGAGGTCAGTCAGCTGGGCCCCAATCCCAGCCGGGTCCCCAAATCAGACAATTGCTCCAAGATGGCCCCTGAGGCCAGACGCTCTCTCATGAGCACAAATCTTCTGAGCTCGCTGGAGTAGAGAGAGAACTTGGCCAAGAAGGAAAGGCCCAGAGAGTTTTCAAAGGCAGGGCCCTGAGGAAGTTCTATGGCCTTCCTAGCGGGGAGACTGGATCCATCGGATTTAGAGGTGAAGCTGGATTTGAAAGACTACGGTACAGGTCGGAGATGTTTTGAGTGTGTTCCCATTAGGTTGGGACTTTTAAGAATGGGATTAAAGCCCTGCTGGTGTGGATCAGTGGTTGAGCATCAACCTATGAACCCAGGGGTCACAGGGTTCAATTCCTGGTCAGGGCACATGCCCAGGTTGCGGGCTCCATCCCTAGTGGGGGCATGCGGGAGGCAGCCAATCACTGATTCTCTCTCATCATTGATGTTTCTATCTTTCTCTCCTCTCCTTCCTTTCTGAAATCAATAAAAATATGTATTTTTTTTAAAGAATAGGATTATGGATAATATCGGGATCCAAGTTGAAGTTAAGGTAGCATTAGGATATGAATTGCAGTTGAATTGGGAATTATAACTAAAACTTGAGTTGGGTGAGTCTCAGAGCCCAGGTCAGAAATAGAGTTGGGATAAAGATAGAGGTCAAAGTTAGACCAACTAAAGCAGTTGGGCTCAAGTTTGGGTCAGGATTAGAACAGGAAAGGTGGGGGGTGGATAGGGAAGGCAGGGGGCAAAGGTATATTTAAGAGTCAGGATTAAAGTTGAAGTGAAGGTCATCTCAAGGGTCAGATTTAGTCTGGGGATCAAGGGTCAAGGGTCAGAACTTTCAGTAGGAAAAATAATTAGGGGAAGAAAACCCATAGAACTGTCAACGCAAAGAATGAAACCTAATGTAAACTATGGATTAGTTACTAATAATGTATCAGTATTAGTTCCTCAATTATAACAAATGTACCACACTAATGCAAGATAGTAATAGGGGAAACTGGGTGTGGGGGAGTAGATGAGAATTCTGCACTTCCTGCTCAATTTTCTGTAAACCTAAAACTTCTCTAACAGAGTTTATGACCGCTTTTTTAGTTAGGGAAAAAAAGTTTTTAAAAATTGGGACCAAAAAACATTGGTGTTGGAGATAGGTTTGGCATTGGTTTAAGGGGGGGCCTCATTGATTCCCAACTCACTGCACACCGCTCATAACATCCTCAGGCCATCCTGGGATGTGTAGATTCAGGGGCAGCCTTTCTTCTCCTAGTTAGGCCTCTGCTGGCTGCATGGCAGCCCACTTTGAGGATTTATCATAGAGCGTGAAGTGTGAGGATGTGTGTGTCTATGCCCACAAGGGGCTGGAGAAGGAGATCCAGGCCAGGGCTCCCCAGGGAACACCCAACACGAGGCACCCCAGTGCTCTGCCCAGATATGCCACCCTTCCATGTGGGCCCAACTCTGACAGGCCAGAGATGGGGCTGGAGCAGACCAGCCTTCTTGAACATCCCAGCTTCCTGGTGGCTTGTCAGAGGAACCCATGTTCCAAGGGAATGAGGGGCACAGAGGTTTCTACATTCATGTCTTCTCTTCTGCCTACCTCCTTCCTCTGCTTCCACCTGAAGCCCCTAACTCCAGCTGTCAGATCTGGCATCATCTCCATCCTGGCGGTACCCCAAGTGGTTTGGCTACTCAACTTGGGGTAAGGGTCAGGCTGTTTCCTCCTTTCCTAACCCCTCATGACTTAGTCCCTCCATTTCCAGGGGAGACAGACATTCGAGGACGAAGGAGAACTACTCATAGGAAGGGAGTAGGGTGAGTGAGAAAGTGATGGGAGGCAGAGGTTGGCAGGAACACCAGGTGAACGTCTCAGATTGTGAATCAAGAGATGAAAATAGTCCTGGATGGGGAAGCAGGATAGTTAGTCTGCCATTAACTTGTTCTGTGACTTTGGGCCTCAGGCTCCTCATCCCAAAATGAGTGATGTGGGCACATGAGCTGAGGTCCTAAAGCTGGGGGGAAGGTTTGGGGAGGATCCTAGGGTTTGGGGAGACTCCCCTTCCTGAGACATTTATCGTGCATGACCCTGTCTCATGCCCCTGGCGCTGAGGCCAGGCCCAGCAGGAGAGAGAGGGTGACCCACCTGCTTGGGATGGAAGTTGCCGTTGCGGTCGCAGTTGGGGATGGGGATGATGTAGAGATTTGGGGAGCCTCCCCTTCCTGAAACATTTATCATGCATGACCCTGTCTCATGGCTCTGGCGCTGAGGCCAGGGCCCAGCAGGAGAGAGACGGTGACCCACCTGCTTGGGGTGGAAGTTTCCGTTGCGGTCGCAGTTGGGGATGGGGATGATGTAGAGGTCCTCGTGGGTGCGGCTCTGGGAGGCGGCCAGCCGCTCCAGGGCCCGGTGCAGCTCACTCTGGCAGGCGCCCTGGGGCTGGAGGAGAGAGAGAGGATGAAACTGCTCAGCAGAAGAGAAGAGGGGCAGGAGAACCAGGAATGGGGGTCATCTCAGGACTGAAGGCCTTGAAAGGAGGGTCAAAGCCCAGAGGTCAGGGTCAGGGCCCAGGGAGGTGAAGATAGAGGTCAAGGAAAAGGCTAGTTTGCAGTGATACTTATTCCGCTTGGCTTGGGTTCTGGAGACATTGGTGGGAAGAGTAGAGGGACACTGAAGACAGGATCTTGGGCCAAAGAGCTTCAACAAAGGAGAGGTGTGAAGTGAAGGAACCCCGTGGGGAAGGAGCTGTAGAAACCTATGGAGGAGGCCTGGAAGGGGGTGATTTCTAAGCAGGAGGGATGAATGAAATCATGCCATCAACAAGGCATGGCTTGGGTTCTGGAGACATTGGTGGGAAGAGTAGAGGGACACTGAAGACAGGATCTTGGGCCAAAGAGCTTCAACAAAGGAGAGGTGTGAAGTGAAGGAACCCCGTGGGGAAGGAGCTGTAGAAACCTATGGAGGAGGCCTGGAAGGGGGTGATTTCTAAGCAGGAGGGATGAATGAAATCATGCCATCAACAACGTGTAAGATCCAGGAACGGAACCATCAGAACCATCCGTCAGACAGGACATTTGCCAGACTCCGGAACAGGGTCCCAAGGCCCCCTGCTATGGCCAGCATTAACCCTTTAGAGATTGAGAAGGTCTCGGGTGGGGAATCCAAGAGAAGGGCCAAGAAATATCAGGAAGCTTGGGGCTACCATGAGTTACCAACCAAGATAGAAGTATTTCAGTATTTAAAAACCACTTTAGCTGTACCAATATAGAGAACTACCAAGCAGGAATGGAATTTTAAGGAAAGGAATGAGGACTCTCTGGATCCTGACAATGTATACTCTACCCCGTAGGCATCCAAAGAATGTTTACTGGATAAACATAGGCCAAGATGTGGTGGTGGTGGTGGTGGTGGTGTGTGTGCCTGTGAACATGTGCATTTGAGGTCAGAGGTCCTCACCATAGGCCGGGCTTCCTCCCGGGGAGCCCCGCGTGTGTGTCTGTGAACATGTGCATTTGAGGTCAGAGGTCCTCACCATAGGCCGGGCTTCCTCCCGGGGAGCCCCGATGACCTTCATCTTGCCCCCATTGGTGTTGCGGTCTCGAATTTTGGCGAAGTGCTTCTGCAGGCACTTGCGGTCATGCGCGCTGCAGGGGCTGAAGCTGTTGTTGGGGTGGTCACCCTCATCCTTGTCTGCAATCAGGCCAAGATGGGGAGAGGTCAGCACTGGGAAAAGACCGAGCAACACACCAACCCAGCCTCCCACCTCTTTCTGCTTCTCGGGGGTTCTCCAGCCTGACACGGGAAGCATGGGGGTCTAGGAGCAGGAAAAAGTCAAAACAGCACTCCCATCTCCTTCCCACTCTCCTGGAAGTCCTCAGGAGGCTATTTTTCTTGAAGTCCTTGACTTGCCCCTCACCCCACCCAGTCCGGCGCTCAGATGAGTCACCAGCTGCAGCTGCCCAGACAGGAGGTTCCCCTGGGCTCTGCTGGGAGGTCTGAGGCAGGCAGGGGGGCCCCCCACCGGATCTTTTCTCCTTCTAGTCAGCTCCTCCTACCACCCCCCTCTCCATCTGCTCTCTCTTCCTGTCTCCTTTCCTGCTCTTTTCAGCGTCTGGCTGAGCCAGCCACAGGATCCCGAGGGCTGTCAGCCCAGCTGACCCGCTTCCAAATGGCCAGAATCAAAGTTTCCATGAGTGATGAGAAATCCAACCCAACAAGCTCTCCCCATTGGCTGGACAGGAGAAAAGTGGGAGTGGGTGTGTATGCCTGCGTGTGCAAGTGTGTGTACACTTGTGTAATGCTCTGTGCGGCCCTAGGACCAAGAGAATACCTTCCCCATCCCTTCAATCCCCTACCCTTAGACTTCAGACCCCATCCAAAGGCCATGTCTGTTGCCCAGTCAGGGCACTGGGGATCTGGAGATGGGGGTGGAAAGGCTGGGCCTGCACCCCTCCCTGGGATCTCATGAAGACTCTATCTGAACTCAAGAAAAACCCAATTGCAACTGCTGCTTCTCCCTCCAGGCAGCCAAGTCCAGACAACAGGGCTGAGCTGGAGAAAGGGGTTACAGATCAGAGCCTCCTCCGAAATGCTCGGTTTGGCAGCTCTCGGCCGGCCTGAGTGCAAAGCCCCTGCCAGCATTCCAGATGTTGGTGACCAGGCAGACGGTTACATCTGTTTTGTGTCAGAATTTCTTTTTTTTTTTTCCTGAGGAGTTAGCAGGTTCCTCCAAGTATGGCAGTGGTCCCAGAGCTGCCTCTGGGTCAAATGGTATTTTTCTGCCTGGCCAGAGTGGGTTGGGGGTAGAAGGGGGAGGCCAGCTCTCTTTTTATTCTCCTAGTCCTGGGAGTGTGGGGAGAGACATGCGGATAAAGGAAAACCAAGCAAGGAAGAATCGAGACCCTCAGAAAGTCTTTGTCAAGATTCCACACCAATGGCTATTTATAAAATTGAGTCACCAAGGATGGAAAGAAGGCTCTGTCACGAGTAGAGGGCTGGCTTAGAAAGAGGAATCGGAGGGAAGAAATAAATAGAGCAGAGAGATATACCCCATCCTCCAGCATTCTTAACATCCCAAGGGCAGTCCAGAGGGGACTCGTTTGTAACACCAACTCGAGTGCCCTTCCAACCTGGAAGGGTTTTATTGTCTTTCCTTTGAGTGTGTTTTCTTTTCATGGCCATCAAGGAAAAGGCTAGTTTGCAGTGATACTTATTCCGCTTGGTAAATGGGCAGAATGTTCTTAGGTTCAAGGGGGTAAGGAAGAGTTTTCTACGAATGGCGCTGTCTCAGGAGGTAGAGTGCCCCACGGCCCTAAGGTGTGGAGCGTCCGAGTGGTTGAGGCCTCAAGAATCTAGAGACATCTGGAGTAGAAGTTCAACTGCAACCAGGCTTTCCAATGCTGAAATTCTGTGAGTCGAAGTCCACCAATGACCAATGCTTGAGGGATTATTAGTGGATATTTGGAAATGTGTATACCTTAACTTGAGCGGTATCATTAAGGACAACTGGGTCCACTCACTGCAATCTGGGGCTGCGTGGAGCCTAGAAGCATGGCTTATGTTCTTGTGTTGGGAGGGCCCCATGTCACATAGAGGTTACCTGGGGAAGATGGGCAGGCAGCATGCCTGGTCTCCCCATTTTTTGTTTCCCCACCACCCAGCACACGTGTGCCTAGCTTGTGTGTAAGCTTGGAGAAGAACACACCAAGACAGGGAGAGTAGCTCCTTAGTGTCTCTCATGGGGACATAGGTACCTGGACTATGTCCCTATCTGCCCACTCAGACACAGAGAGGCCGGAACTCAAGAATTACAAACATATACAAACAATCACGTGTCTAGACACACACTTGTCCACGTGTGCACACCTACATGCACTCAGGCACTCTGACCCAGCCTGGACAGACACAGACCTAGGGCAGGGCACACTGGCTATACCCTAGCTTGTTGACTTTTCATTTCATCTGTAACTTTTCCTTGCCCATCACACCAAGTACCCACCCCAGGGCCCACCCCAAGGCACCTGGCTTGGGAGGGTGAGTGTCATGGCGTTGAGTCTCTGAAAAAACGTGAACCGTCGAACCTCCAAAACTGGCCACCTGGTGCTGCTCACCCAGGTGGTGCCATCTGGAAAACCCCAATCCTGGTGGGCTCCCCTCTGAGCAGGGGCTGGAGTCAGACCTAGCCCCCTGAAAGATCTGACCTCCTGAATTCCTGAAGGCTTGCTTGGGAGATGAGGTTTCCAAGGTAGACTAGGTCATCTCCTCCAGCTCCTGCTTGGAGCGAGGCCAATGACACGCAGCCACAGGGGAAACCTTGGTTTTTGCTCCAGCAACAGAGGAAGGGAAGGCACCCAGAGAAAGAAGAGGCTTCACAGCTTTGGCACTACTGGCTGCAAAGTTCATGGTCAAAGCTAGAGGATTTCCTCTTTCTTGCTGCCTGATTTCATCCCCATGATTCCTCCTCAACTCCAGCCCCTGCCCCACTCAAGACACCCAGAGTGAGACTGTGAGGTGGGTGGGTTCCACCCACCTGCCCTGGAAGGCCTTTTCCTTCTTCCCCTGGACTCTGGCTGGAGAAGTCAAGACCACCATGTTGGGTACCAGACCCTTTCTTTGAGTTCTGGCTCAAAGGGTGTCTCCCTCACTGTTGTGACACACTGCTGGCCTCAAGAGTCAGAGACAAGGACAGCTGACCTGTTCCTCCCATGTTTATAGCAGGAAAAGGCATCAAAATCTGCCTTACCCCTCAACTCCTCTGCATGTCCCCCAGCTTTATTCCATTGCCTACTGTCCCCCAAAACCCCAATATCAGAGGAGGATTTAAGCTTCAGGTTAAATCCACTCAGCGTCCTCTTCATCACCATCTTCATCACTGCTCCACTTTACTGAGCTCTTACTCCACGCCAGACATCCCACCCTGTGAGGCAGGTCCTACTGTAGACTGGTGGAAGGGAAGGAGGAGGGATTTATCTCTACAGCTCCTATGTCTTTAAACAGAAAGACTCCTGGTACCCAAGACACCAATAATTCTCGCTTTCCCAATACTAAAAAAAAGTAATCAAATTTAGCAGCTACGCTCCTCTTCCCTCCCTCCCACAAAGGCACAGAATTTCTGGGAAGGCCCTGTTCCCATGACACCACTGGATTCCCAGTACTGCAGTAGGGGGGGGGGGGCAGTGTTTGCTGTGTTGACTAAAAATTAACCTGGCTGCCTGTTCCCTAACCCTGTCCCAGAGCAACACCCCAGTCCAAACGCCGATGCACTGTCCACTCCCCCCGATTCCATGAATCCAGGGTCAGCGCACTTATGCGGAATTGTGGATTTCTGACGCACCTGTCCACCCCATCCCCACTTCTGGTGGCCTGAGTGGTATTAACCCACAACCTGTTCTGGCTCAAAAAGCTAGGACAGGAAGGTGGGGGAGCCTGGAGGTGGAGGGGGGCCTGCCCCAGGGCAAATAGTAGGCAACTGGGCCACAGTGACTGCCCTCCCTCAGTCACTTGCTGAAGCTCAGCCCCAAGAGGAAAAGGCAGAGAGAAGAGGCTTAGGTCCCCAAGCCTTGGGACCTGGGAGGGACAGTGGCCTATTGTCAGTGGGAAGCTAAAGAGAATAGTAGAGACAGGGGCCAAGCCCTGAACACTTTGTCTCGCCAGAGACCTTGCAGGGCTGCTGCACAACTCTAGGGGGCGCCTTTCCCATGGTGCTGTGCGGCCCAGGCTGTGGCAGAGGGTACTTCTGTGATGACTGGGAGGTAAGAGGGCAGGGACACAGCTTGCCAAGAAGGTGCCTAGTTTCCCCAGGGTCCCCCAGACTTAGCCTGTCCCTCTCCGGATGGTGCATGCACTGCATGGGTGGAGGACAGGCAGGGAAGGGGAAGGGGGGTGTTAGAGACCCGGGCCCTGTAATCCAAAGGGGACCTAAAGCCACCCTGGGAGGCGGGTTTGCATAATAGCCACAGGACAATTACACTGCTCATGCCTCTCCGAAGCTCCCAGGGACATGGATTTTTCTCCACTACAGGATGGGGTGCTCCTTCCCAGCCAAGGAAAACGGGTGCCCAAGACCCTCTGAGGGTTCTTCTGCCCCCTGTTCAAGTTGGTGAGAGAGGAGGAGGCTACCACCCATCCTCATCAGTTGCCAGATAGCCGCTGGCTTGTGGAGGAGGGAGACACAAAGAGAATGTGGTCCTGTTAGACTCAGGGAGCCCAAGGGCTCAGCCCTCACTCCCAGTCTGGTCTGGTACCAGTACCCCTCCTCTCCCACTGGCACTGGCATCTCTGGCCCCATGATCAGCGACGTATTCCCCCAAGGACTGCCCCCCTTCCCAGATGTGCTGGGTGCCAGGCTGGCATTTCTCCTAGAATGTTTTCTGCTGACCCATCTCTTGTTGCCCAGGGGCAGGAAGGGCAGCCAGGCCTGAAGCCCAGACCCCTGGGGTCCACCTCCTTCCTGTTTTCCCTGCGTCCTGCTCTCCTCCAGCTAACAAGCTGCAGAGGATTGAGGAAGTGGAGCGGTCTGGGACCCAGGGCAGGAAGCTTGGGGCCAGAGTCCCAGCATCCGGACTGCAACAATGGAAGCTTCAAACACCAGGAAAAGAGACAGACAGAGAGGCACAGGGAGAGCAAAACAGAGTCAGAGAGGGAACAAGATACAAAAGCAGACATACGGAAAGGCAGGCCGAGAGAGATTCCAAAAGTAACAGAAAGACAGGAACAAAGAAAGAGAGACAGGGACACAGAAAGAGACTGAGATGAGAGTGAGAGAAGCAGGACAACGGAAACAGAAAAGGGTAAGAAGACAGAGAAAGAGAAAGAAACTGATGGTGGCCAGAAGATACTGGGGGAAGGAGAACTCCAGAAGGTTGCCTGTGAAACTAGAGGCTGAAAGACACAGCAGGAAAGAACAAAGAGAAAGAAGGAAAAGAGACTGAGAAAGATTAGAAGGAGCAACTAAGAGGCTCACTGAGAAATGGAAAAGAGAAAGGATAAGAAAGAGTTTAAGGCAAAGGGCCTTCTAAGTCTGTCTCCCTCTCTCTCTTCTTTACTTTCTAGCCCACACCCGTTAGGTTTCTGCAGCTCTGGGCTGGGAGCCCAGACTTGCTTCTTTCTGCCACCTCAGATGGCACCTGCCGAGAGAAAAAAGAGGGATGCCTGTGGACCAGGGCAGGAGGAAGTGCCCAGGCCCGGCAGAGAGACCCCTGTCTTCCCAGTACCCCCCAAACGGCTAGGTGAGCTGGCTGGGGGCTTTGGGGAAGGGCAACTCCGCTGCCCCTCACCACCAAAGCCCCTCTCGAATGCCTGTCCCAGTCCTCCCACCTCAATGTCAAAAGTCCAAGCTCTGGCTTTTCAGACCCCTGGGGCTTTCACCTGTGGTGAGGGGACCAG